TTAATTGAGGTTTTGGTTGAGATAAAAAATTCAGTGTCACAAGCGAAAAGGAAAAATGGAAAAAAGGAGGGAAAATTCAAAAGGTGGGAAGTTAGTGCCTGAGTGAATCGAAGTCACGATAGCTCAAGTGGTAGAGTAGCGGCGTATCTAGCCGAAGATCGTGCGTTCGAATCCCGCTTGTGACACTGCCTTTTTTATCTCAACCAAAACCTTAATTAATTGAAAAATAATTTATTTGGTCAAGCGGACCACGAAACCTAATAAAAAGTTTTGAGTTTTCTTGATCTTTTTTTATTACCAAGTACAAACTACGTACATTGTGCAATAAGCTATAGTATTTTTCTCATCTGATATTGTTATAATTACATGAGGGGGAGCCAACCATTGTTGCTTTCCGAAGTACTATGGACTAGAAGGTCCCGACGCGTCAGTCGTCTGACCGAGTTGTAGGGGGTGAGCTATGTTGTACATGAATTGGTCTAATGGGGTGGATGTAAAGATAACTTTTTGTGGAACGTGTAAAATTTTTTTAATGAAGGGAATTTGGAGGTCATTATGGAGGGTGGTGTTGGAGACGTAGTAGGAAAAACTGAAAATGGTTCTGAGGACTTTGGTTTGGAAGATTCATTCCTGAAACATTCTCTGGATGTTGAAAGGTTTTAGCTGTGTGATTCTAATCCGTTTGCCCAAATCGGCTTCGATAGTGGCTTTAGATTGTTAGTTTGTGTGTCGTTGTTTAGCGTGATGTGTGAAAATCACTGAACGTCATTTGCTTTAATCGTAAAAATGGAAATGACATCATCGCTTTCACTATGGCATCTTTTTCGTTGTCACATTCAGGTTAAGGACGTCGTTCTTCGCCAACGAGGGGAACCAAGGTATATTAGTATAATTGGTACACTTGCTAGCAAATGGAATAACCATAAAATATAAGTATGTTCTTTTCTTCCCGGGCGACCTTTATGCTAGAACACTTTCCCAGCCGGATTGTCTCACACGAGTTCACAATAAACTTTATTAGACGATACGCAACTTTCCCCCAGGACCGTTCGCACCCAAATACCATTGTTTTTTTGAATTTCAAATCTTGACATTCACATGATCTGCAAAGGACGCAATGTTGTACCAAGAAGGATGAATGGAACCAGTTCTTTGATTTAAGAATGTGTAAAATACATTAAAAGGTTACCTATCCACATATGGCTGGATTAAGTTTTTAAAAAGTTCAACAGGTACACATATAAAACTGTCCTAATGTTTTCACTGTGAGAATACTTTCGTCAAACACGAAGAGACAAGACTTCAGGCAACACTGAACCTGTAGATGGTCGTGACAAGTGCTTTGTAGCAGTGATTGTTTATTTTTCGCTTCGTCGTTGAACAAAATGTTTAAGCAAGGTTGAAAATTAATGAAGCAAAGTTGGTAGTTTATAGAGTAGTTCGGTAGTTTCCGGTCATTTTCAATCTGCCTATCCTCACTGATTTAGTCTGACACGCGTTTCAGTTTTTCGCCATCTTCGGTGTTGGGCTTGTTTATTTTATATTTGTGGCAAACCAAAAATGACCGAAAACGACCAAACTTATCAGACCCCATGAAGAAATTTCATAAATAATAGTCTTCATTTTACTTGTATTGTTTAATTATTTCTGAAAGTGTATATTTAAAGTGAAATACTTCATCATAAACGAAATCAAGGTGGGCATTTATCACCAATATAATTTTTTTGTTGGTTCAACGTCTCACTGTGGGTTACTCCCTTGTCAGAATGTTGTTGTTTTCCGAGGATATCTATTTTAGAGAAATCGGTTCCATAGGACCGGAGAAAATTCTTTAAAAAGCCGAAAAATGACAAAATTGGCGTACTTAACATGGTCATTTCAGTTTATTAGGAAAATTTTCCTCTCGAAGATGATATCCGACAAAACATTTGTGCATTAAACAAGCAACGAGGGGAAAGGGAAAAGGGAAAAGGCTAGTACTGACAAGACTACGCATGGGTCATACACGAAGATTCATGGGTACCTTCTGCCCAGAAAGCGATCGCATAGGTGCCGATATGAAAGAATAAAATAACTGTCGAGTACGGTTTCAATTGTAGAAAATTGACGTTTATAAGCAATATTTTGATATATTGTCGGACATGTGCGTAGTCTTGGGGTACCGCAGAGAGCACAGATTGCTGATCGGGCGCCTTAAGACTTTAGAAATTTTTAAATGTATTTAGTGCTTGTGTTTTGTTTATGTTAGTTTATTGGAATGAATTTAATTTATTAGCGTGAAAGGAACGGGTAGTCGGGCGAGTAAAGATAGTAGCGAGAATGGAGTGGGTTCGACCACGCCCCGAGGAATATCTAGTATATATATATTTATATTGTACGTTTTATGTCTATTCTGTAATTGACATCCGTAGCATTTAAGAAAATCAACTTAGTTTTAATATATAAGCAAAGTGTCAGTAACAGTTGAGACGCCCAAATTGCTGCAGTTTAAAGAAATTGGTGTGAAAGGCTAGAAAAAGAAGTAAAAACATGCAGAGAGGGCCGGCGGTGACATTATTATTATTATTCAACAAGCTACTTTGTGAGCCATAGGATATTAAGTAATAAATTAGGATGATATTTTAGTAAGGTAATTAAAAAATAATAAAAAATTAACGTTTGATAACAAACGCTTGGTCCGTTTCTTTTTCTGATTAATTAATAGACAAATGAGGTGGTAAGATTTTGCCACGTGGGCTTATTATTACCATTGCTCAGCAACTCGCGGTTTATGAGGTTTATGAAAGCGAACCGGAAAATGGTCAGAGAGAAAGAAATGAATGAAAGTAAACCGTTTAAGGCCTATCATATAAATGGACCTGAGAGAAAACAGTTAACAGTTATGTTTTTCTTCGCCATATGTGAAAGTGTAGCACCTTTTATCGGAAACCAATAATCATGCGTCAGGAAAAATGCTGAAGGCCATAGGCTGAATACAGCCATCGTTTTTACATCTTATTACGTATTTAATAATATTTTCTAAAAACTAAATATCTAAATAACTAAATAAACTAATATACTAAACTAAACTAAACTAAATATACTAATATACACTTTATACATCAGTATTTACACAATTATATTAATATTCTTAATGAAATTATACAATTAACAGTACACAGCTAATTCGGTTGAGGATATTAGAGCTTTGTATCCATAAGATGGTTGAAGATTTATTTGTTTGGCATTTGAGAGCCTGTCGAACATATTTCTGCCGTCATTTGCGTGTTTCTTGCAGTGCATGATGATACGACCTAATTACTCCCACAATATTATCCCACTCCCTAAAAAATCAATTATTTTCATAACATCAGTGTTTTGCCAATAATCGGGAGCATTCTCGAAAAACTACTGTTGCTCTGCCTTTATAACAAAATTCCTTTCTGCGGACCGATTCGGCTTTCGGAGTTGCCACTCGACTATCAATCAAGCTCATCGTGTTTTAGACACCATTGACACTACCCCTGAAGCTGAAACAGTATTGACCTGGCGTCTTCCTGGACATATCCCAGGCATTTGATAGGGTATGGCACCGGGCTTCCTACCATCTACTATATTCCTGATAATCATACCTTACAGGTCGTCACTTCCAAACTGACCAAAACACTTCTTTCTCCTCGAGTTACCAGATTCGCGCTGGTGTTCCACAAGGCAGCGTACTTGCTCTTCTCCTCTACACAATTTACACAGTTGATCTACCCACCACCCTAGTACTTTCATTTTTACCTTTGCCGATGACACATCATGTGGCACCTTTGATAAAGACCCTGTTACAGCTTCATACAGTTTACAAAATCACTTACAATACGTGAATACTCGCTCGGCGAATGGAGAATCAAGTTTAATGAAACTAAATCTAAATAGTTTTATCTTTAACAAATAAACACTCTCTCCTCTACATTTCAATTATTTTCCTATTTTCGTAGGATACCTTCGAACCACGATAAACGACCTAGTGGAAGTCCCGTGCGAGACTCAAACGTAAAAATAAAAAGATTAATTTTCAGCTGAAACACAGAACAAGTTGACAAGCGATCCAAATTACATTAACAAACAAAAAAGTCTATACATAGCCGTGTTAGCCCCCATATGGACTAGGCTTGAACTGTAGAGAATTGCTAAGCGTTCCAATCTTAACCGACTACAAAACCTTGCCTACCAAAATGTCGCCAAGGATGGACCTGTTATCGTACCGTATCGATATTTTTAATTGTTTAAATGATACGATGTTGTTATATGAAAGTATGAAAGCTTCATTAATAATTCTGTAATATAGAATGAAAACTCGATATTGCATTAAGCGAGCAAAAGTCAGCGTTAAACCGAAGTGCTAAAGGCTAATCGATTCAAGCTGAAAAAATAATTTTGTGTTATTTAGTTACAAGATGATTGATTAAGAATGTTGGGACGGATCCGACGAAGAGTAATATTATGCTGGTAGCCTTTCAATATTGATCGCTTACCTAACCTGTATATACTCGACCTGAATATTTTATCATCACTCGTTAACAATCCATACTGCTGGGTTTCCCGGCACAGAGTTAGCCTATTTAATTTAAAAAGAATTCTAAATAGAACTATTGGTTATCGGAGTAGATATATGAAGAAATTAATAGTAGAAGCTGTGATATAAGTCATCCGTGAACTCGAAAGTGAGGGCTACTTAAAACTTCAAAACTCCTTTTCTTCATTAGATCCTCGAGAGAGAAAGTAATGTTTAACAAGTAAATAGGCTTAGATCGGTTACGTGTTTCTGGGGTTATTTCGTTTGCGCAACAGGATTAAATAGCGTCCGGTTTCCACACTGAAAACAAAAAACTATTCTTGATCATTTCGGGAAAAGGTGCGTTCCAAAAAACCCGTTTTTTTCTTAAGACAGACTCTGTTGGAAGCGGAAACGTTTTAAAGTAAACAAACAGTAATTGTTACTTTCAAAACAAATGTAAGCGTGCAGCACTTACGAGGAGATGGTGCGGCGTGAGGAATGGCGGGTTGTGCCTTCCTAGCCAGGTCCTGACGAGGTGGTGCTTGGCATCTTGGAGGTCGTGTTGGGATTCATAGGAGACGCAGGCCTTCTTGCACGACATCGGGATGGAGACGAGGGTGCAAATCAGGTGCAGAATTGTCGCACCGAGAAGGCCGATACCGCACCACTGGCCAGCCCAATGACCTGCACTCTGAAAACAGAAAAATGTTGCAAGTCAAAAGATTAATGGACAAAAAGAAGTTCAATGGTTCAAAAGAAACAGATCCTTATTTTACAAAAAGTTCAATTCACGGTATTGACAAAATCATAGTCAAGTGACGATATAAGGTGTGGCTGCTTATACAATCACTGGCCATGTACTACAGTTTTTCGTCACATATTATCCACAGTAGAAAAAAGGTTCTTGTATTCTACAGTTGCTTGCGGTTTATTTTGCACAAGTTTTTCTGGTTGTGCGATGAAATCAATTCTGTCTGAACTTCCCAGACATGCATTATAAACATAATGAAATTGGAGAGCTAGTTTTTTGACGTTTTTCTACGTAGACTACGTTCATTTAATCTATAAATTACGGCGCCTGGTTACAATTTCCTCAAAATTTCCTGACTGTTCACGGGTTATTCATCGTGGCGGTCCAATGGTGTCTACAATTGAATCGGAGTGACTGGGCAGAAAGGCTTTCTTGTTGACAAGCAGCTATTAAATTTCCTAATTCCCGCGATTGTCAAACGTGTCGTTGACACGTGTTGTCGGCTCAAGGTCACCCTTTTCTCCCCTTTTATTTGTTCTTCAGAAAGTGAAAACCTCACGGACCCATGCCCGTCCTTTGTTTGGCAGGATATAAACCGAGTTTGCTCACCGGGTCGATCCCCTCGAAAAGTGAATGTTTGGCCTTTTGTGGGAGGCTGCGTCAATGTTATTTTTGCGAAACGGATTTTTTCCTACTAGAAAATTAAACGAACAGATTTCCACCATTTGTCCCCGGCCTCGCCCTCAGGTTAATTATGGTGTCATTAAGTTGTAATTACGACCTCCGTTGATATTTCTCGGCTAAATGTTTATTAAACTAACTACTATCGTTTGAATAAATACAGAAACATAACGGGTTTCCTACATGAAAATGTCTTTATGTCTCAAATTTGTTTATAGTTAACGATTAAAAGGTCACCAAACACCGTTCTTTTCTTTCTTTGTAAATCCATTTTGTTCAAGTTCTCCTACAAAAAAGCAATGCCAACATACCCTTCTGTAACACTCCAAATTGCCATAAAAAAGGATTAATTCCAGAATGGATCAAGTTGAACACTTATACTTTGTGAAATAACAGACCATGACAAAGGGAGGAAAGTCTACCTTACACCAGACGTGTTGCATCGAGGCCGGAAAGGTCTGTGACTGCGGATTTCCGAAGCAATCGGAACATGGAAATATTAGAGGTGGAAATGGTTTAGATTCTGCCAAGAAGATGTGGTACAGTACATATTACCTACATGTTTCTGGAAACACCTAATAAGAAGACGATATCTTATGGCAATGAAAGGTTCAATAAAGCAAAAGTAACTGAGAGATGGAAGAGCACTGTAGTCTTACGTGATGGACGCAGTGCAAAATGCTCATCAGTCTTGCCTATTAATACTACTAGCGGTATTTTAAATTATTAATGAAACACTTATTTAAAACTCACTTTGCCAAAACCAATTCTACACCATCCATAAATTTCTGGTAACTGATTGATGATGATGTCAGCTCAAACCTCAAATGCTTGTACATATGTAGCACGCGTGTGAAGAGTTGATTGAGCCTACCACTTCTCGCATTCCCCACCGGCAATTCCAGCTTTTGTAATTTGCAATGAATGAATGGCAGGCCTCGAGAATCACCCACCCCGGGTATTGGATTCCGGGGATTTCGCTCTGATCCGTCCAGCCACCGAGATTAGGCTCAGAGGCTATCAACAGCTAGGTCATTTTAACCCCTTAATTTATGTCTCTCTCTTCTTTCTTATTCACATTCAATCAGTAGTGTGGTTGAATAGTCGATCCTCCTCACACCACACAGCTAACTAACTCATTCCTCTCACATTACGCATTCACGCCAATAAATACGTTCTCTCTCAAACACATTAGTACACACAAACGTGATATCTATAAAGTACTATTTACAATAAAACAACCCTGTTTCAACCAAAAATCGGAACAGAGGCCAAATAATCGCTGACGTGCTTAAGCACAATTCTCCAGGTAGCATTCTACTCGCCCTATATTTGGATGCCAAAGAATGGTGCCCTTCAATTAGGTGGGACACATAGAGCAATCTTTCTCGGCATGCCGGACATGTACGCGGACTTTGGCCCAAAAGTAATTGTCAATATGTCAACCTGGCCTACCCTTAATCGGTAAGGATGACCCTTCTTCTACCAGGGCTACCGACAGTGCACTTAATACGCGAGAGGCTCACCAATTCCGCCATATTTTTTTAATCATGTTTTTATTACATTTTTAGCATCAGGGGGCCGGCCGGATCGCCGTGGTTAAGTTCTTTCCAAGTACTCATAAATTGCGTTTATACATTCGTTAAAATCATTAGATTATACAAATCGCACTCATGATTTACATTTGGTTCTAAATTATTGACTTATTTGTGAAATATATATTTTACACCATCACTGAAGTTGGCGAAAAGCTGAAATGTGTCGGATGGACGAAACCAGCGAGAACAGGCGGAGCATATGTGCTCGGCGGCTGCTGTTAATTTGATTTAAATGTAAGTCAAACCGCAATATTCTTCGTTTATAAAAAATGTTCATCATCCAGCTACGAAATTTTAGCAAAGTTCTCTTATCATAAAATAGCATAAGCTGGTCAAAAGGTACACTTTTATTACTCGATAATATAGAATCCATTCATTTTCTTATATACATTAATGCTTTAAACGATAAACTTTAAAAGAATTTGTTTCCAGTTTTCACTTTCAGGAAGTGAAAGGTAAACCCATAAATAAAAAAACGAGAATCTTAGAATTGGTGTTATCATAGTATATGGACCACGTGTGAAAGGTGAAACCGAGTCGTTTGGAGTAGACCGAATCCTCAAGAGATCAGCTTTCGATTTCGCTCCACTGTCGGTGTCCTTGGTGGCATTCTTTCAAGCAGTTTCTTCAAAAAGGAAACACGTACTTGACCTAGGACCGTTACAGGGCAAACGCGACTGACGGCGATCCCGTTGTCTCCTTCAATTAAGCAATAATCAGATAATTATGCAGAACCCCTGGGCGTATGTTGAATTACTATTACCTCATCGGCTCCGTACTTTGCATAATTATAGGTTAGCACATGGCACAATGTTGTTATTAGTCGGTGCCAATGATATGATTTTCAATACCATGTTAAATAACGGATTTATGATGGTCTTTGTTTGGATTGAATATCTCTCTTCCTGTTTCTTTTATAAACGCTCAACGAATGCAGAAATAGTTCTTGGTTAGGTACAAGGACCTCACTAGAAAATTTAGTAATATAAAAGCAGGTAAGCACAGCATTTTAAGCAATTTATCGGCCTACTGTACCAGGACGTACCCATTTTACAATCTTAATCAAAATCCAAGTATTTTATTCGTTTATGTAAGCCTTTTATTCATTACCTTCATAAATTACATTTTATTTAGAAAAAAACAAAACAAACAACTTAACTCAAGGAACCCGCTATAACATGGTTCTTGCGATTCTCTCATACGAATTCCAATCCGTGGTGTTTCACTACACCAAGGTTATTTATGAAACGACCCATCCTCCATTCACTCGCTACAATAGGGCAAATAAATAATTATATCTTATTAACAATTTATACTGTTCATCCCGAGCACAATGGAAGCGTGGGTAAAAGGCCGATACAATAGTACGGGCAGTTTCAAAATCTCCATTATTAGAATGAGAGAAGGGTTGCGACAATTTTAACCAATTCCCACACGAAACCTGGCGGAATATTTCGCTGGATTCCTTTCTTACGATCTAAGTCTAGTATACACACAGTTAAGTTTGAGAGATAGAGATAGAGGGATAGATAGATAGATGGATGGATAGATTGAGAGATAGAGAGATAGATAGATAGATAGATTAGATAGATAGATAGATAGATAGATAGATAGATAGATAGATAGATAGATAGATAGATAGATAGATAGATAGATAGAGAGATAGATAGATAGAGAGAGAGAGAGAGAGAGAGAGAGACATATAAGAAAAATGAGGTTGATTGGGTGTGATAGGTTGGGAAAGAGAGAGTTTAAAAAGCGAATGAGAGATTGAGGAGAGCACGAGAGAGATTGTTAAAGCGAGAAACGGGTTAAGAGATTGAAAATATATGATTTATCAAAACGAACATAAAAATTCGTTATACGCTGGATTATGAAAATGAAATATGTGAATTCACCAGTTTCAGAAAAACATAGCTCAACCGTAATATTTTGACATAATTGTCTCCTAAGGGTTTCATTTATGTTGTGTCTAGTTAATACAAGTGTAAAGACAATATATGCAATATGTAATCTGTATTTAATGCTACATGTTTTGTTGACGCGATTTTTACCTACCAAAACACCATAAAAATTTATGGTTATTTACATCGACTCATTTTTATTTTTCTGACGGAATTACAAAAGTGTCTCTTGCGAAACCGATTCGCACCTTTCAAATATTCCTTTTGTATTACGAAACGGACGTATTTGCTTTTTGAAACGCATCCTCCTCAAAACCATTTTCGCTCTAGCATTATGATCGTGGATAATCGAACTTTCTCCTCGTTTCATAAATTAGCGGCCGTCTACTCGAACCGATAACTTGTAAAGAGACGATAGATGTTGGCCAATGAGGCCGATAATCGTCTCGCATAATTTCCCGACGAGCGTGAAAAGTCTTGAGGGAAAGCCTTTTCTACGGAGGATTCAGAAACGCCGTCATTACAACGTACAGTACTCCGGTTAATCGGTTTGGTACTAAATATAACGCATGTAGAGAGAACAAAGCCTCTCAAGTTTCTACTTTTCGCATCAGAAATTAAAAATTAACATATCCTCATGAGATAACTTGTCGCTCATAAGATTTCTGATAATATGACACGTATGTGTGTCGACACTTTTGGGGGCAGGGTGGTCAGTGCAGGTCCAACTTGACCGATCCAAGAAACCACATTTATG